GCACTGTACAGTGAGAACTATTCATTGACTGGCACTGGCTGATGCTAGATCTTTGAGATAAGCGTGTGTGTGTGTGTGTGTACGTCAAAACAGACGGGAATGAGCCTCGGCATGCCCGGTTTTCAAACGGTGCTCAACCAGAATTGAAGTGATTTACCAACATATCGACAGCTCAATTGGGATCAATTCGCCACTTCGATTGTCAATGCAACATAATTTCGTGTGCCTGTCTTGGCCTGTCTCCTGTATCGCTCTGTTTGTGACACTGTCCAACCTCAGCATCAGCATCATCATCAAGGTCTAAAAGCCCATCTACCAGCAAAACGTCTTGGATATAGATGACCTCCAATAGATCGGGGCATTTTCAAACATGCCATGCGAGATCCCACAATCGACTTCGGCAAATAGCATCGCCTCTTACCAAGTCAGTGAAGATGTGGACTCAGCATTTTTTTCTCTCTGATTTTTCTTCTTCTTGAGGCTTGACTTAGATCTCAGTCTCACTCACAGTCTACAGTCTCGAAGCTCAGGCGGCTCCGGGTTTTTCGTGTGGGCTCCCCTGCATGGAAGACATGCACTTCACTGGCGCGTTGCCTCTTGCAGGGCTAGATGTAGATGTGCCGTCCCTTGAAATAGAAGTACCCTCAAGCCCAAAAACGGCCGACGAGGTACTTCGTCATTGGCAGGGATACCCAAACGGTACCCGGGCGCCCAGCCGAGCCCCACACTTGATTGGAGCCGCCAAAAAGTTGTTGGGGAAGCAAAAAAGGTTGAGGGAAGGAGCGATCAGGTCGACGTCGACCTTTCGTCCCAGCTACAAGACCCAGTATCTGTCCGAGCAGACGTCGCCCAGTTGATCTTTGTATTTGCGGAGAAAGACCGACACAATTTCAACACAATGAAGCACCTACATGCCAACGATACCTATCGTGGGCTGATTACTGGCATCATTCCTTCGTCCAAGTGACAGGGCATAAGGAAGATCTCGGTAATTCGAGATGCAGAGCGGGGAGTTAGGTAGATAAGATGTATGTACATCGTAAGTTGTTGGAGGCATGGTCATCTGAATTACAGTGCTTGCCAAAGGTTGATGTGAATCATGAAGACTACAGCAGCAACAGTGTTATAATGTAGTTGGTTGTGATAGGTTCCATCAGGGTTGACTTCTACAAGACAATGGCACAACCAATTGTTATCAGTTTCAGCCAATTGAAACGTCAACCTGCTCAACTACCTCCAACAAGTCCTGCAACTCGCTTAACCCAAGATCAAAACTCCTGATAATGGTCGAATCGATAAATTATCCGTATCAGTCAGCGAATGGTTCAGTGCCTAATGCACTGTACAGTACAGAACAAAGTCCCTGAATTCATGATGTATAAGCGCCTCCATTGATCAAGAGGGTTAGGTTGCCGGGAAGCGACGGGAGCTGCTGTTGCCTTTTCTTGGTCCGCCCGCCCCAATGGATTTTTCCCCCTTTGATGGGGAGACGGCAGGCGTGTGTGACATAATACGCCAGATTCAACCTCACTCACAGCTTCGATACAACCACCAGATAGCATAAGCCTGTCTGAATGGATAGCAGCATTCCATTTGCTTCATCCTCATCAATCTTCACAAGCAAGACCATCTCAGATCGCCGAGGTTCGAAGCATCATGACGACTTAGATACGATTGCAAAGGCCTATCAGTCAGACGTCACCAGAATACAAGCTTGCCCCAACTTTGTCTTGAGGTTCCCCAACTCAAAAACTGGCACGCAATTCTGGTCGAAAGGAAGAACTTACCTGGCCTCCCATCGTTGTCATTCATCATCTGATTTGTATCGGCATATGCCATCGTCTCCATTTGCCTCCGCCTCCTCGCTTGAGAAGTCGATTCACACAAACCCCAGCTCTTGATGACCAAAACGGCTTCGTTTTACTTCCCCAACCTTGGATTCGCCGTCACAACAAGGGTTAATTGTCAATCAGAGGTCCCACTTAGGCCCTGTATTTTTCTTTGCCTCCTCACTGAAGGAAGCGCTGTTCGGTGTCTCTGTCGCCGCTGAGAAGGAGGCAGAACAGCCCGGACAAGGCCTGAGACTACGTCTCTCCACTTACAACCCTCCACTTGTCTCACGCCTCCCAAACCCACTACACCCCCCTCCCCAGTCTCTACCGCTTCCTCGTCCTCATCCAATTCAATCGATTCTTTCTTGCGCCCTGCTCCGGCTCGGGTCTGTTTCTGATAGTATAAAGTTCTTTTAGAGCCCTCCGCCCCAACCGGAATTACTTCTCGACCAACCTCCTCCAGTTCCTTTCCCTTCTTATAAACCCTTCGCCCTTTGTTTAGGATATTCTTCATCCTAAAAAGGTTCAGTTTTCCCTTCACTTATCCGAGTAACCATCAACTTTGTGGTTCTCTGTGTTGGGTTCCTATATCTTCGAGTCGACGATAGACACTTGCCATCGCCAACCTATAATCGACAACTCGATCGGTATGGCGACAGCTACTGCTGCGGGCAAGAATGCCCAGCCATTCCCTGATGGCACCAAGGACTATGTTCCTCTCCGCGCTGGCGGTGCCAAGAAGGATACCAACAAGGTCCATATTGCCGATACTCCCATGACCTGGAGCAACTGGCCTCAGCACATCAACTGGCTCAACACCACGCTGGTTATCTTCGTTCCCTTGGCCGGATTCATCTCCGCCTACTGGGTTCCTCTCCAGCTCAAGACTGCTCTCTGGGCTGTCTTCTACTACGTTCACACTGGTCTCGGCATCACTGCTGGTAAGTTAACACCCAACGAAGCACTGCTTTCAAAGCCCAGATATCATCGATCAATTACTCACATTACCAGGTTACCATCGACTTTGGTCTCACTCTGCCTACAAGGGCACTACCCCTCTCAAGATTTATCTCGCTGCTGTCGGTGCTGGCGCCGTCCAGGGTTCCATCCGATGGTGGTCATATGGCCATCGTGTCCACCACCGTTATACCGATACCGACAAGGACCCCTACTCCGTCCGCAAGGGCCTCATGTACTCCCACATGGGCTGGATGATCCTCAAGCAGAACCCTAAGCGACAGGGCCGTACCGATATCACCGATCTCAACGAGGACGCCGTCGTTGTCTGGCAGCACAAGAACTACATCAAGTGCGTTCTCTTCATGGCTCTCGGTTTCCCTGCTCTCGTCGCTGGTCTGGGCTGGGGTGACTGGTGGGGTGGACTCGTCTACGCTGGTATCCTCCGTGTTTGCTTCGTTCAACAGGCCACCTTCTGTGTCAACTCTCTTGCCCACTGGCTCGGTGATCAGCCTTTCGATGACCGCAACTCGCCCCGTGACCACGTCATCACTGCTCTCGTCACCCTTGGTGAGGGATACCACAACTTCCACCACGAGTTCCCTTCGGATTACCGCAACGCTATTGAGTGGTGGCAGTACGATCCCACCAAGTGGAGCATCTGGTGCTGGAAGCAGCTTGGTCTTGCTTATGAGCTGAAGGAGTTCCGTGCCAACGAGATTGAGAAGGGCCGTGTCCAGCAGCTCCAGAAGAAGCTTGACCAAAAGCGTGCCACCCTCGACTGGGGTATTCCTCTCGAGCAGCTCCCCGTTGTCGACTGGGACGACTTCGTTGCTCAGGCCAAGGCTGGAAAGGGTCTCGTTGCCATTGCCGGTGTTATCCACGACGTTACCGACTTCATCAAGGACCACCCCGGTGGCAAGGCCCTCATCAACTCCGCCATCGGAAAGGACGCTACCGCCATCTTCAACGGCGGTGTCTACCTCCACTCCAACGCTGCCCACAACCTTCTGTCAACCATGCGTGTTGGTGTCCTCCGCGGTGGCTGCGAAGTTGAGATCTGGAAGCGTGCTCAGTTCGAGAACAAGGACATCACCTACATGAACGACTCTGCCGGTCAGCGCATCATCCGTGCTGGCTCTCAGGTCACCAAGATTGTCCAGCCCGCTGCCAGCGCCGATGCTGCTTAAGCGGTACGATCTTTTTTAATGACGAGCAGAGGAGGAGGGATAATTGATCGATGTGCAATGTGGAGGATACGAAAATCGTCATGCCAGTAGACATGTCGTTGAAAGGGTGTGGGGATACAGTCAGCCACAGATCACATGTCAAAACATGGACTGTAGATGGGCGCCACACCCATCCCTGGAGGATGAGACAAAAGCACAGCACGTTTTTAACGCGAAATCATAAATTCGACTCATGAATGGCGTTGGGGGTTTCTTTGTGTTTTGAGACTACTTAGCTTTTGACGGCTTTGAACAATACCAAAAGAGAATGGTTAAACATGAAATCAGCGAGTTGCACAACCACCACCACTTGGTTCTTCATCAGATAGTATGACTACTCGGAAATACATTTTTTTTTGAATATAACAAATCTTGCATGCATTATGTGAATTCTATCTTGGCATACATACTATGCAATGTGACCTATGTAGTATCACTGCATTATGACGAGTGTGGACTACCTCTATAACAAGGATCAGAACCATTGCTGAGTCCCTGTACACCTTGGTGATTTCTTTAAAATTCTTAAAGCCTATTTAGTGGCTCGAGGTATGCCAAAGGCATAGTATCTATCGGATTTCAAATAAGTTTGCCTATGTTTCACAGAGTATCGTCTTATGTCGTTCTGCCTCATGATAACTCGTGACATGATGCTTGATGCAGACTGTCCACAAGACTAGCCAGGGGCCGGGTGTTCTCTGACTTCATCCGAATGACCTCGGAGCACATCTTCTCAGATATCTTGCCCAATGCTGACGTGTGACCGGCGTCTTTGGCCCTTTGTGGCCATGCAATGCTGCGTTTGACAAGATCCTTAACTCTCTTGACTCGAAGGTGGTGGAACGGGATGTAGCGCAGACAGGGGGCATCTCCAAGAGGCCGACAGCTAGCAGGCTGCCTCAGCAATAAACATCGGCTGGATATCTGTAACGCTGTTTGTCTTGACACTGCGAGCTAAGTCTAGCAGCTGTCAACTGTGACTTCATGGAGTGGCTATTCGTGCTTTCTGTACTGCCAATTCAGAGCTCTTGGCCCATGCCCCATTCGGGGTCTGACGATAACACAGCAGGCGCCCGTCGTCACCTGTGCTGCCCAATATGTGACCATCGTCATCGAAGCCCACACGCCATACAGGGGTACGATGGTTGTCCAGCCTGGATATCTCCTGGAAGTTGTGCTTAACCTGGCCCGGCTGCCCCGACCATTGTCGATCATTGTGAGAGCCTGACTTTGCAAGACTGGCGCTGAGCCCAGAGGTATGGTGCTGATGTTGGTGGTAACTGTGGGATGGTTGTAGCTGAGGCGTGGTAGCTTGTTTCTCCGTTGGTGTCGCAGTTCCGTTTGTTCTTGCTTGTGGTGTCGAGTCTCTGGTTGACATGTGTGGTGCTGATCGAAGGAGATCGGCCGCAGACCACGACTTGCCGTCATCTTCGGAATAGGGTGTCTCGATTCGGAAAACGCGCGCATAACCATCCTGACAAGCTGTCGCAATAACGTCGTAACCTCTAATATTGCCTGCAGCCCATGCGACATCGCGTACCAGACCCCGATGACCCGTTAACTCAACAGCGAGATAGAACTCCTTCTGGGTCTGCTGAACGCCTATAGAAGTCGCAACAATATCCCGCGATCGATATACTTTGACGGTGTCCATTGCAGCCACCACGAGACCTAAGGAATCCGAGGGTACGCCTGCGCGCAGAGCTGTATAACATGGTTCTGGGTTGGGGTCGAAGCGCACACGGAAGGCGAGTTCTTCTCCTCGATTTGGTTTCGGAGCGACACTGAATTCATCGATAGATGCATATTCCGAGAGGTTCTCGGGCTGATCATTTTCGTAAACTGTCAAACGTCCGTCTGTTGCGAGGAGCGCAAGATATGTATGCCTCGTCTCCTCATTATGCTTCATTGAGAATGATCGGTAAGGGGCTTTGTTCGATCGTGTATCAAACGCCGGCTTTCCATTACCAGCTCGTCCAGTACAAAATCGTCGACCAGGCGCAGCAGAAGGATCCTCGGCCCATAACCGGAACCACCCTTCAATACCGAGGGAAGCGATCAAATTAGGGTAAACAGTCGCGGGCAGCCATTGAATCTGCAAAATTGAGGGAATAAAGTCAGCGCGCGTGTGCGACAGAATGACACAGGAGGCAAGAATACTACGAGACATGGGGGTTTATTGGTAAAAGGGGGCTGCGTTACCTCTATAATCTCGCCGCCATGTGCGGTCCATGTATCGCAAAGGCGCCATGTGCCATCCTTGTGACGGTTAAAGACACGGATCTTGCCATCTACTGAACCAGTCGCGCAGCGGTCGCCGTAGGTGTTGAATGCGACGGCTTGGACGAGATCTTTATGGCCGTGTTGGAGGTTGAGGTCGAAGGCTGGTGTTTCTTCGCCGGGTGATGGAGGGATTGAGGCCGTCATTTTGAGGGCGCCTATGCTATTGCAGCAGTTGCAGTGACGAGGAGCGGTGAGTTTGTTGTGTCTTGTACTATAACTGAACTCCGATATCGTCGTCCAACGTCTTGAGGTGGTGGTGATGTGTTGTTGACTTGGGACCTGCTGAAGCTCCACAGCGCTCAAGCTCAGCTCAGCTCGGTACGTACCACAGCCTGTCAAAATGCAGGTTCCCCGCGTGAGGTGCCTGTGCCTGATCCAAGTCACCCAATCAATATGAGGCATCATGATATGACCAAGATTGCTTTGTATGATAGAATATTCAGATTAAATAATTGCCAAATTGGCCTAGTTACTCGTATACAGTGTTGTGATATGACGACTGGTATTATATAGCAGACTACTACGTCCTTGACTGGTTGATATTATCCTTCAAGATGAGCCGCACGCGACACAACAGGTGTAGCTTTGCGCCCTTTAAACAGGAAATGAGGTATAACTGGAGCATATATACATGGTGGGTTGGTAAAGACTGTTCTTTGAAACTTGGGAATTCCATTATTTCCTCTCTCAAAGCTTCTTCATGAGACTCAGAAGAAGTAGTCATGATGGCCAAGCTCTTCATGCTCGGCTCTTTTATACACACCGGACTGAGTCTCAGTTTTACAAGAGATAATAGTCTTGGATGTAACCGTTGAACCTTAGTCTTGATTCCTAGTAAGATACTCCGTACCTTGGCATAAACCCAAAAGATAAATTGTGAAGGTTATCATGAGTGATGTAGATGCAGGGATCTTTGGCTGTTCCACAGCGTAAGAGGCCCGCTGATTTGTCCAGGCAAGTTCTCCACATGCAAGTTAGAGCTTCTCAGCCTTGCTAAACTTCAACCCTTCCATCATCAATACCATCTTGTTTGCTTTATGATACCTGATATACCCAACATGGCGCATCTTTTGAATCCCCTGGCGACAACATCTCAGATCTACCACAAATCTTCCTTCTCGTCTCTGCCCAAGGATCTCCAAGATACAATCTTTATCACTTCGCAATGCCTCACACAAGCTGCTGGTCAGCTCCTAGAGCTTCCTCAGTCTGTCACTGCACAAGCAAACGTCATTCTGGCGCGATACTGGCTTGTCGACTCTCCAATGGCCAATGAGTTTAGTGTAAGACCAACCCCAAAATACCTCTCTCAACTTTGTCTGACCATATTGAATTGTGTTTCTAGGACACATCTGCTGCCGCCCTCTATCTAGTCGCGAAGATGGGACCTCAACCCCGGTCAGCGCGCGACATATCAAATGTTTATGCCTACCTCTTATCAGAGAGTTCCTTGTTCTTACGGATCCCGGAAAGTCCAAAGAATGACCCCAGGTCGTACTATGTACCTGAAGCAGACTACCATGCCTTTCAGACCCGCATCCTTGCCATTGAAGCTCGCATCCTTTACACCCTCTCCTTCGATACACACGTCTCGCTTCCTCATCCACTTGCAGTCACTTACCTACAGACACTCGAGTTTCTTGCGCAGCCTAAATCTATCATATCTCTACGCACCATTCAATATCTGAATGCAGCCCTTCTCTCACCTCAGATGCTGTATCTTACTCACCAGCCCCATGCGCTAGCTACAGCTGCTATATACAACGCGGCTCGCGATGTTGGTGCGAAGATGCCAGAGTGTGAATGGTGGGAGGTTTTCGATGTCGACAGAGAAGAGCTGGGGTTCCTTGTTGTCGGAATGCGAAGCGTGGAAAACTACCTTCGCAAGATTAAAGAAGATATGCCGGATCTAAGCGTGGGCATGCCTACACGAAAGTTGGTAGATATCGAGCTGCAGAGGAGGGGCGTGGAAGGCGGGAATGATACTGCCGAGGTTGGTCAAGAGCAACAAGTCATGGATATGATGGACAGCAGATGATCGCGTGCCTCAGTCTTTTTGACTCAGTGCTCGGTATCGAAATCGGTCCTGATGCAGCAACCTGGAAGCAGGCGCCACTGTTTCGCGTGTCGTATGTCAGACAAAACACGGCCAATGAGCTGGTGCATGAAGTTGTGGTTCTGCATATTCCAGGTCGATTTTTGAGAGCATCAGGCCATGATCGTGAGTCTCACTGGCTACAGTCAGCCCGGCTGAACGGAAATGACAATCGATGGCCAAATCAATGGATCAATTGCTACAGTGTGGCATATCAAGAGCTGAATGTGGTATTCAAGAAGCAATTTTCAAAACGTCTAGAACCAGCCACGAGGAATCAACGAGAGAAGAGGAAATAATGCAGCAAGAAAAAGACATGCGGGCGACAACAATATCTCATGCATGTGTATGGGTGACACTCTGCCAGCCGGGTTACTGGTAGTTGCGTCTATAATACCAGCTCTACCAAGTCAACATACCTGCATACATACAGAGTGATACTTGGCATCATTTTCTTACATCGTCGTGACCGATTCATGGTTCTAGAATTCATATACAACATACACTATTACGTTTCACCCCGCGATGCACAACCTCAAGCGGCAGAGGCGGTTACCCTCAGACACACATAGTTAAAATCAACTGCCAATTCACCCACGAAACCTGCTAGAGCTCCATCAAGCAAGCTTCTGCCGTGTTTGTTAGTGACATGCGGTGAGGACAAACTACTAAGAGTGTGGGCCTCTTGTACCCCGACCAGCCTCGAGGGCATCGTGGAGTTGAGTGCGGGGGATTGGAAGAACTAGCGCTGCCCTCCACGACTGGGCGTTGTTGGGAGCAGCTCTCAACGTTACAAAAAAGTATCATGAAACTTGGGAATGATGTAAGTCGTAACCGCGTACCGGTAACGAGGCGGCCAGAGACTGGGGTGCAGGATCCATTCATTACAGCCTTGAATAGTTGATCTTCCAGTCAAGTGACAACTATCGTGTACAGTACACGTAACAGCACATGCTAACTGATTAGCAAACACCGTCTTTTTCTTTTCTTCGTAACGCCATTATCTTTGGCTTGTTGCAAAAGATATGAGACAGATTATCTTGGCAGAGCCTCTTGTTCAACCTGTCTGTCCTACCAGCGGTAAAGCCGATATCAGGAATAGCCTACAGTTTAGACAAATCGATCTGACATAGCGCCGCAAAAACCTTATCTTTCCGCATACAAAAAAGCATAAAAAAAAGGCTAGAAAATTCTCATGATAGCCAACTACCTATTCGGGGACAAGTCGTCGACATTGCAGTATGTACATACGTACATACATGAAAGTAAATCAGGGGGAGGCCCGGCTAGCACGGAGTGCGAGGATATCCGTTGCCGCAAAGCGACGCAAGGCAGAGCGCCCAATTGAAGCGCGAGTAAATTGTCCCATTGGAGCGAGCTCCGATCGACAAGGTCATCCCGCGGCTTTTTTTTCTTCTGAAATCTTGGGGTGAGACGAGAAATCGGAGTTGCTGATTGGTTCGATGGACAGGATAGGAAACCCTAGAAATCTGCAGTTGGGGTTTCTAGAAGGACGTCTCTCTCTTTTCCCGTCTTAGCCGGACGGCGTATTGGACTTAATTGTGGTTCTTTTTATGGGATCTGAGAAGAGAACGGGAATAGTTGTAAGAATCAGGTTACGTGACTGGAGATGAGTAACAAAAAGAGCCGGAGCCGGTCTCGGTGCAAGACATGGAAGTGGCAATAACTTCAGAATCATCAACTGTTATGTACCGTTACACGGCGGCCCTGACCCCCATTCTCTGGAGCATGCACGGAGAAGACGGAAACAGGGGTGCACTAGTTAGTTATCGTCAGAAAGTTGGTGTGTGCACCCTCTACTCCGTAGTTGGCTTCACATCGTGGGGCAAAACTGAGGGTGTTGTTGTTTGGTCCTGGTCCTGGTCCTGGTCTTGTAGACTTGTACTGTAAGAAAGAAAATGGCTCACTCTGTTTAGTTTCGTGGAGCATCAGCATCAATGGAACGGGCAAGGCACGCACGCACATCGTGGAGAACAATAACTATGACGAGATACGTATCTTCAATCGCGAAAGGTATATTAGGCCACCTCAACCTCTTTCTCTGAACCTATCTATCTTTTACTCTTCACTCTCACTCTTCCACTGTCTATTCCCTTCACTTACACACAAACAACCACCACAACCATCAAAATGTCTGACTCCGTTACTCCCCAGACCCCTTCCCACTTCGGTGAGAACAAGGGCATCAAGTTCACCTTCAAGACTGGCAACGCCCGTTACCAATGTGTCCTTCAGGACCGCGCTCACTAGTATGCCATACCCTCTTCTGACTTACAACTTCAGCCTCAAGCAAAGTACTAACCATGCTTCAGCGAGCGCACCAAGGCTTCCCGCCAGAACTCTACCGACTCTGTCTCCTCAAACGAGTCTATCAAGACTGAGAAGTCTTCGCACTAAAATGTGTCTGGGATAATGGCACCTTGATATACCTCGAAAACATAAAGAGGATCAAGGGTGACCAGAACAAAACAATCAAAATGGGGGGAGTTTATTATACCACAATCATCTGGCATTATTAGCGACGGTTATACAGGGACATTTGGCGTCTCCATGAATCAAACAATCTTTTTTACTGTTACTCTATTCAATGTGCACTGCTGAATGTGAACGTGATGGCCATGAACGTATAGCTTGGTCGCATCTCCATACCAAGGCTCACCTCTGGGCAAAGTGGCATTTCACCCAGTGAGAGCAACCAAATGACAAACAGGCATTCAAATTGTCAGGTTCATCTGCAAGATCCCGAATGCCAAGTTTTCCCAACTCGCACTCGGTCACTGCAGAAAGAAACGGGGACCCGACCCCGTATCTCGCTCGGTGTCTAGCCTTTTCACCTGGATGGATCAAGACTAATTACTCCACCGTATCAGGACCGACCGATCCTCTTTTGCCGCTGGGATCAGGAACAAAAGACCGAATTAGTGAGTTGTACTTATCACTATATTATCCACAGCGGATTTCGGACAAGACGCGGCTCTAGCGATGATAAGTCGGAGGTCGGTGGCTTTGGGTTCCGGCGGCTGAAAGGCGAATTGAAGGTTGGTCGGAAGCCCGTGAGATGCGAGGTCCGTCAGATTGGATCGGAAGACTCGGCCGGGGCTGTCAGCTTCAAGCAACGGTCGAGTATTGGAGCCGGTAGCTTCGGATATACAAACTATTGTCTCGTCTCACCTACATACTTATATAGTTAGAGCTATTTCTCCCTCAGCCATTATATAATGCCGTGCGCATTTTGGCTCATTGAAGGATTGAGGGGAAAAGCCAAAGTCGTACGCCATGTACCACAAGATCCCGCCAAGCGTCGTCATATCGTACCTGGCTAACTGGCCGAAACCGATGAGACCATGCTTGGCTCTGTGAACGGAGCCAGGCTGACTCGAGCAACAGGTAATAAGTCAAGCCCCGACAATCGGTGCCGCGCAAGCAAATTACCACGAGTCCATATAAGAGACGGAGAATCTCACGTACTCGTAATAGGCTCGTCTTTACTATGCTTTGCGCCCAGCACTAACTACCTACGTACGAATACAATGACGTTTCAAAGGCAGCAGACTTTCAGGGGCTTGTTCTCACTGACGCTTATTGTCGCGAACTGACTTTGGTGTGTCAACAGTAGAACAGAGTAGGCAAGATTTCTCGAAATGTCTCTTTTTGCCATTTGAGTGCAGCTAAGCCAAGCGTGTGATGGTAGGTCGCTTGTTAGTCGACGCTGTAATGCATATCACACATCACATCGCATCACGTCACGCGCCATCCGCAAGCGTCGATTGAGAGTTGATGTTGATTAGAAGAGTTGATGATACATAGAGATGAAACCAGGTGAAAGCATTGTTATTTGAATCAATTGTATTGTTATACAATCTTTGGTGTTAGTTACTTTGGCTGTCAAAGTCTAACAATCATAAGCACAGCCCACTTCTTCCACTTCTAAGTTCTCAGCTGGGCAGACAGAATGTGCGAGTAAGTCCGAATCTGAGTCGTAGTCGTAGTCGCTGTCACAATTGATTGATACTGAACTTAATAGGTTTGTTTAAATGCTCCCTATCCCACCTCTTACGTCAATTTCCCTTCTACCCCTTCTATTGTTCTTCTGAGCCTACACCAAGCTCCTTGCTTTGTATTCCACTGTCGCTCTCACTCGCTGTTTGTGTCGCTATTGGATCTGCGATTCACCAACCTACGTACGACGTGCTCGACTATTTCTGTCGCTCTTTGAGAGAGGATGCCTCATCCTCTGGTGGCTACAGGTATGTAAATCAATCAATCAATTCACAACGCCACACTCCATCATCTCCCATGACTTCCATTATCCACCAATTTCGCTGCCGTCCAGTCTTTTGATTATCTTCTCTGTATTCATCATCTTCATTGCTCCTTCAGGCCAAGCCCATGGGATGTTGATTACCCCGCGTCCAAGCTTGCGAATCTAGTGCACGTCTCGCCTGTGTCTGCCTGAGCTGAGGCCAAAAAGAGTGTCGCCTGAGCCACAGCCAGGTCAGTTCTAGTCCCGAGGCTGCCTGTGGCAAATACAGATGCCAGAAGCAGCACGAGGCCTACGCAAGCTCAAACTTCCCCTTGATTTGCCTCCAACTTCCTCCAATTTATTCGTTGTTTCTGCTGTTTACTTAATTGTTCGAGTTTCTGGAAAGCTCTCTCTTTGCATTTGTGCTTTTTTGTCTCGTGGGGAAGAAAAGGAGATTTGTTGTCTTCTTTCTGTTTGCTCGCTTGCAGCTCTCACTCCACTCCACTGAACATCACATCACGACCCGTTCACACCTCTCTTTTCTCTCTTCTCTTCTCTCCTACATCTGCAGTCTCTCTGCAGACTTGAGAAACAATGCCTAACCATATTGTCCTGGCATCAGGTGCCGTAGTCGCTGTTTCGGTCGCTATCGCCACCACTATTGCCATCTTCGAGTCGCCAGAAGTGCGACGATACGCCGACGATGTTCGAAGGCGGATAGCTTTCGCCCTCCACTCTATGGGCGAGGGCATCGAACCTCCCCACCGTGAGCCCAGGTTTAATAGACCTGAGGATGCCGATGGCTTCTTCGAGTCCCGTCGTGGTGCTGGTGCTGAAGCTGGTGTTGACGCTGATGAGGAAACTCGCCGACGACAACGTGAGGAGCTGCTTTATTGGAACTCGGTCATGTTGGAGAAGCAAGAGAAGGAACAACAAAAGGACAAGGAAACCGACGAGAAAAACCCTGCGACCATGGATTCGTCACGACGAGGCTCTTCATTTGATGACTTCCTCCGTCAGGATGAGGGTGCTGAACGAGGCGCTTATGTCTATAACACTGGAGCTGATACCCGTGCAATGGATGACGGTCTGCGACGTCGCGGCGATGGTGCTCGCGGCTTCTCATCTCTCTACACCAACCCTTTTGCCGACGAACACAACATTGATCAAGACGAACTGAACGATGATATCGAGCAAAGCCGCCATCTTTCTCCCGCCCAAGACGAAATTTCCGACATCTACAGCGCTACTACCCAGGACCGAGACGAGAAGCCCGCTGCTCTTATCGACACTGACCCCACCCCCGCCCTTTCTGAGACAGCTTCTTCCGCCACGCTGGAGCGTGAAATCGGTGTCGATGAGTACATGACCGCTGGACAAGAGGATCGCGACGACGCTTATTCCTCCATCCAAGCATGGGCGCAAAACACCAGCCCCGAGTTTTACTCTCCTCTTCCCGTTACACCCAGCGCCCCCATGTCTGAGCCTGAAATCATCAGCGACGATGGCATGGTGACACCCACCGACTCTGTATCTCTTGTCGGTTCCGGAGATGATGTCGCTAACGATGCGCAATCGTCTCGCGAGGGCGAGACTGGTCGCTACTTCGATGTCTTGAGCGAGAGCTCCGGCATGGCTACTCCCGCTAGCTGGTCTGAGGTCGGCAGCGTCATCAGCGAGAGCGACGCCCACATTCCTATCCACCAATAAACTCTGTCGTGTGGCAATTTTAAAATCATCAAGTTGGAATATAGGTAGGAAAGCCAGTGTAGGAGTGGGATTTTGTTTTCAGAGTCATACAACAGACGTATACAGACTTTGAGGGTCTGAGTTCTTGGGGTTTTCTTTTTGTCTGGAGTTGGAGTTCAGGTTGCGGTAGCAAACTTATATCCTTAGCACCTGGCTAATCTCGTTTCTTTATCAAAATCTATCGACTCATCTGACTCTACTTGCTATTGTATGTGAACGCCTCATATGCATCAGTAAATCATTATCGACGCCTACATTCAATGTGTATCTGTATATATACTACGGCTCAAGCTTCTCCTTGTAATCGCCCCAAAGCTGCTCAACCGGCCGTCCAACCAGTTCGGTCCAAAACGGCTTCTCTTCATACTTCTGAATCCGTAGCTTCTCATTCAGGCGACGAATAGTTCCCTTTCCAAATCGCTCCTCCAAGTAGTCCAGGAAATAGGCCGTTTGCTGATAGCCAGCGTCCCACTTTCCATTGCTGTCGCGTTTCCAGTGAGGGGGGCTGAGAAGGCAGTGAAGTCGCACCCAGTCTGCGATACCTTCGATCAGGCCGCCTGGACAAGTTCCATGACCGTTGTACTGAAGGCAGTGAACTAGCTCATGAGTGAGTACGCCGTTGATCTCTTCTGTACGACGAGATATGGGGTGGATGTTGGCGATATACTCGACTGAGAAGTGAATCTCCTTATGATCGCTGTCCAGGTCAGAGCCAGTGGTGTAAGCTACACCTGACATGCTACGAAGGATCACTGTCACAGATCGTGTTGTCGGGATTGTTGTGGTAGGACACGTGGGCGATTCATACAGGAGCGCCAGTACATGCTGGGCCGCCTTGGCGAGGCACTCGGCAACATTGACAGAGCTAAGAAATACCGCAGCCCCAGGGTGAGAGAGATCGCGACATTCAAGTCGTAGCTTGGGGACCTTGAACTTGCCGGCGCCGGGAATATCGGGGCCATTCCGTGGGCCGGAGGGAGTGGGTACTTGGATCGCCGGTGTCATGATCGGGGCCGGGGAGAAGATTGAGGCGGGCGTTGGAATGGGAGTGACTGGGGGAAGATGAGGCATATATACGGAGTAATTGCGTGGTGGTGAAGCAGGGAGAGGGTTTAAGACGGGCGGACCACGATTTTGATTTCAAGGGTTGAAGTTTGGCGAGATGTCCAAGTTAGATGAGGATGGAATGTAACGGAGGGGTAAGATTAGGTTAGAAATGGAGGCTTGCTGAGTAAAGATGAAAACGGCAAGTTTATGTGATCACAGAAAATCAAATAAATAATCGAGTCCGTGATAAGAGTACGAGAACGGCTCATGCGTGTTACTGAGATATCATGGGCAAGGGAAAACAAATGGATCAATGATGAGGCTGTATCATGATTGAGATGACCCCTCAGTAGAATTGAGCAGGGGTGTGGAATTGGTGGCCAAAGCTCTGAAAGGGCCCCGCGAAGCTCTGTACGACACAGTGGAGTATGGAGCCTTTTAGGCAGCTCCAGCAAGGTAAAGCTTGGCGGGACATTCTTCGCCAGGGCAACTGCGGCAACCTTTTTCGGGCAGATTGTTTTTCTTCGCACCTGCTGCGCCCGACATTAACATTGACACCCAACCATTTATGATGACAGCGAAACCATAACAAATAGGTACCTACCTTACCTTACTTTAAAATGTGGCAGTATATTGTACTTGGAAAATAAAATAACTGGAAAAAGTTTATTAGATATGACTCCCTATATGAGCGCATCAAGCGTCAATGGCCCTGATGTACTACAGTGCTTGGGATTATTTCTGTGCTCTCCGGCAGATTACAGCAATCATCTACCTAGGGGTGAGCCAGCTCTGTTAGCTCGCGCTATTGGCTACAGCACCTACACACCTACGAAAAAGGATACCCATCTTCATCCTTAGTGCCACAACCATAACATCAACATAACAAACAACAACAACTAAAAAAGAGCTCTCTCACGCTCTCAATGCGCACTCTCAACTAAAGCGATTCTCCTTGTTTCGCTCTGTCCCCTACGGACTGTCTCGCAATTAAAGCCACAGGTATGTGCACTTGCGCTTCCGACCCCCTTGTTTAATTTCCGGACAACACCATGGCCAGCGCATCACCATGATAACCCTTCGGGAGAGGGGGAGAGCTACCTTATCCCACTTCGCGTGGACTGCGCGCGTCTCACTCAACCCCTCATTGAATCTTCATCCTGATCGCGACTAATGCAGTACTGTTTTACAGATTCGTCATAGATTCACTCATGGCCGACACAAAACTTACCGACCAGCAGGTCGCCGACCTCAACACCATCCTGCGCGGCGACGGAAGTCTTGACTCCAAGGTCCAATATGTCACGATCATCAAATCGGGCATTAAACAACACAATGTCCCTGAATCGAGTGTCGCTCAGCTTTTCGATGGTTTGCGCGCAGCTACTACCTCGCAGCATGCCGCTCTGGTAAACGCTGGTTTCACTGCCCTGAACCATCTCCTCACGCGCCTCTCTCGACAAGACCCCAAGCTCTTATCTAAGGAAGCCGCGCGAACTTTGCCAATTGTCGTCGAGAAGCTCGGCGACCACAAAGACAAGTTCCGTTCTCTAGCTTCGCACTCGCTTGTTACTCTATATGCCGTTGCGCCAGCAGATGTGGAACGTTTTGTTCGAAACTCAGCGATGAATGGAAAGAACCCCAGAGCAAAGGAGACCTCCATGAGTTGGCTACTACAGGTAAGTACAACCACACCTGCTGCACTCAATCGGGTGTGCTAACGGGGTACAGATGCACAAGGAGAATGGCCTGCCTTTCCGAGGTTACGTCCCTGTACTCATGGAACTTCTCGAGGACGCCGATGGCATGGTACGAGATGCGGCCAAGAACACCGTCATTGAACTTTTCCGATCTGCCCCAAATGCTGCCAAGTCCGATCTTAAGCGACAACTCAAGAACTTCAAGGTACGACCTGCAATTGAGCAAGCTATCGTCAAGGAGCTCGCCCCGACCTCTAGTCGCCCCGAGACTCCCGCCGCAGAAGCCGCCGCTCCAGCACCTCGTCCAGCTCTTTCGGCCAGCACTTCGTCAGTAGCTGCAGCCGAGCGTCCTATCACTCCTGGAATCGAGACCAAGCCAGAAACTCTCGAGCCACTGTACGTCAACACAAACCGCGAGCTGGACGACATTTTTAAGGAAATGGCGTGGTTTTTCGAGGGTAAAGAGTCGGAACAGAATTGGCTGAAGCGAGAAAACTCCGTCAATAAACTGCGGCGACTCAATGTGGGCAATGTTCCGTCTGATTTCCCAGATACCTTTCTTGTTGGGGTTAAGAGCATGTTGGACGGTATCATCAAGGCGATTACCTCTCTGAGAACCAGTCTCTGCAAGGAGGGTTGTGCTCTTATCCAGGAGATGGCTAATACGTTTGGTCCTGCAATGGACCCCATGGTTGAAATGCTGATGCAATGCTTCGTCAAGCTCGCTGCAGGAACCAAGAAAATCAGCTCTCAGCTTGCCAACGAGACGGTTGACACGATCCTGAGCAAGGTTTCGTACACTCCACGCTTGATGCAACACATCTGGATGGCTTGCCAGGACAAGAATGTTGCGCCGAGAACTTATACTACAGGGTGGCTCAAGACCATTCTAAAGAAAGAGGCCCAGCACAAGCATCATATCGAGCACACAGGCGGTGTGGAGTTAATTGAGAAGTGTATCAAGAAGGGCCTGACTGATGCTAACCCTGCTGTAAGAGAGAAAATGCGATCAACATATTGGGCCTTCTGGGGAATCTGGCCTGCAAAAGCAGATACGTAAGTTGACTTTACTCCCGTTTCTGTCATTTTTATGGCTAACACGCATTAGCATCATGGCCGATCTGGATGGCACTGCCCAGAAGCTTTTGAACAAGGACCCTAGCAACCCTCATTCCCCTAAGAAGGGAGAGACGGCTGCACGACCTGGACTGGGATTATCCAAGAGCACAATGGGCACAAGTAAGCCAAGTATTCGCGAGGCTATGATGGCTCAACGAAAGGCAAACGCAGCAAAGAACCTGCCAGCTCGACCTGGCTCAGCTATGGCTCACCTTTCGCCCGTGAAAACAACCACGTCAAGTACATCGACAGCAGCAACCAAACCATCAGGAACCCGAACTCGTCCAGAAACTGGTGGCATGTCAGGTGCTCCAATGAGGCCAGCAAGGAGGCGACCAGAGATGGCAGCGCGTCCTGCGACGGCGGGCCCCTACTCCGTGCGTGACATGGATGCTGGAAGTCCTGAAAGTATCAGGTCCAAGACACCCAAACCCCGAGAGACGACGCCTAAGAGAACTGCTCCCCGACCACGACCTGGACATGCTTCACATGCTAGTGAATCCAGTCTTGCATCACCTACATCAGTGAGGCCAGGCACCAAGCCCGCGGTTTCACCTCGCACAAGTCCTACAAAGTTGAAGCAATCGCAATCTGCCATGCTGCCTATGAGCAGCCCCTCCCGGGCAAATGAGGACTTTACTCTTGTTGTTCCAAATATGGCTAATTTGAGGGCCATACAGAAGCCTGCACCAGAGCCTCACCAGAGAGCTCCTCAGGCTAGCCAAGAGATTCCCTCAGAATTAACCACTCCTGTGCTTGAGGATTCACCACATATTGTCCCAGAAGCTGCTAGAGAGGCTGCGCCAGTCTCTGAGCCAGAGACAGCCCCTGAACCAACGGTTGAAGCTGAGGCCCAGGCCGCCGATGAACCTATGGAGGAGGCTGCTGAACCTTCCGTGGCCATCTCGGAGCCTGTGGTTGAGCCTACACCCCAGCCGTCGGAAACCGTGCAGGCCGACCCTGTTTCAGGAGCGCCTGGTTCGACACTGCAAGTGTATGAAGACCCGTTCACTGATGAGCAGCCTTCTCCAAAGCCGACCTTTAACGTTCCTGTGCTGGAAGACAAGCCCGTCAACGCTGATGCAGCCAACTTGCCCAATGCCCGTGCTCAATCCCCCGTGACGCAAGACGTAGAATCCTCTGAGAGAACAAAGCAGAGCTCACGACTGCTTGAAAGTGGCATCACCAGAGTCAAGGCAAAGACTCTTGATGTTCATGGATTCCGAAAGCTGCAGTCCCTTTTGCGTGATACCAAGGGCATCTTCACTGATGATAAGTTTGAGGCTCTGTTGATTGGACTCTTCCAATACCTGGAAGATCCTCTGTCTGGGGTGAGTGCCGAAAAGGCTCAGGATGTCAAAGCCCAGATCCTTGCTACAATCAGGCTACTCCTCCGAAAGGAACGTGACAACTTCCAGCCTCATGTGTCCAGGGGTCTTGAATCACTCCTTGAGACACGCAGTGCTTATGATATCCGTGCCCATATTGTCAGTGGCGTTGAGGTCTTGGCTGATGAACTCGTCACCATTGGCGACGGTTCTGAGATTGTTGTTGTCCTAACAAAGCGTCTTGAAAATATTGACAGCTCGACTCCTGAGGGAAGCCGTATGCTCAGCACTGGATTGCACGTGTTGCGAAGCCTGCTTGACAAGAGACCCAACTTTATCCCTACTGATACTGAACTTGGTCAGCTGGCCAGCCTTGCCGGTCGATGCCTTGTTTCTACAGACTCTGGTGTTCGTATGGATGCCGTTCAGCTTTGCGTTGCTCTTCACTCAAGGGTAGGTGAGCAAGTCTTCTGGAATGCCCTGAAGGATGTTCAGGATGATCCCAAGAGCTTGATCACCTACTACATTGTCAAGAGACAGCGAGAGCAGACTCCTACAATTGCAGCCTAAGGGAACATGGTGACTATAGGCTTTCATCAGTCGGAGTTCAGGGGACATTTCATAGGTCAGGCGTTGGATACCGGAATTTCATTAGGGGGATGGTATGCCATAATGGTACGGAATGGCGATGTCAAAAGCAAGGGCGAGTCATAAAAAGGTGTCAAGTTTCACTTCCATGATGCACTGGCGGCAGAATCGACGTGTTTGGTTTCGCATTCTTGAGTTATGGCTATTGTATAGTCGAGAGTTGCTATGTTTTTTAATGCCCTGAGTTACTTGTCCAGTTGTACATTTAGCTATTTGTAATTACTTGCACGTTTTTTACATGAGACATTGGCCATTACTTGTTTAGCTCAGCTTCAACCCTCTCAGTCTTTGATACTTATAAAGCACACATACAGCAATAGATTGGTCTAGAAATGAGGAAACATCTCAACCCAAGCTGGTGATATGTAGACCCCAGCAGGAGACCGCCTCAGACTAAAGAATGACTCAAAAACAACATAAAATCTGGCAGCCATGTAGACAAACAAGGCGAACCAGAATGCGATATAAGTCACTAGCCACGTCGTTCCATCAGTCCTCACAGCTGTGGCGACTACTGCCATGACAAAATACAACGCCAAGGCACCCGCAATATAGAGGCAGCTTATCTTCCACATCAAAAGCTCGATAGAGCTGGGAAAGGCCCAGTTCCAAGCTGACAGATGAACACCGCCATAGATACCAGACAGAAGCAGCGCAAGACCAGCGAGCCACGGGAACTGTTGGAAGAAACCCAAGAGACCGAAGACGTCTTCGCTCTCTGTGAAGACGCTGAAGTTGATGTCGAGGTTTCGTTTGCCCTCGCTGAACGGCATGGTTCTGTACGCAGGGTCGAGAACTGGCTTGAACTCTGGAAGTCGAGCGAGGAAGAGATCTTGGCCAGCCAGAGGTCCAGCATCATCTGCGGGACTGATCATCTCAAAGTCCCAGGCAATGCGATTTACCTTGACAAAACTCGCTGTTTTGACGAGGACCTCGCGGTTGTGGAATGGAAAGGTTGACAAGATGGCGTCCCAGCGACGGAGGAACTGCTCTGATAGTAAAAGGGGTATATGTGCAAACTCGGAGTGATACAAGAGCCCAGATGGTAGGATATCCCCCGGCCACATCTCCAGCCCCGGCTCTGGCTTTACCCAAGGCCCTGATCGTGGATTCGCCCAGGTATCGGGTAGTCTTTCATAGGCTGGAGGTCTTGCTAATCTTCGCATCCAAGACCAACCTATCCAGTTTCGAGAAGATGATTCAGGGGTTTCTTCGAGAAGTTGCATCTCCTCTACCCTCGAAACATCATCAATGTTGATTCTGAAAGGTTTTGGTGTGACCCAGTCTGGCTGCATCAAGCTACCTCTTCTTGGAGGAGGAGGCTGATCCGGACGTTGTTGCGGAGGGAACAATGCCAGTCTCGTTGACATGTTGGGATAGAACTGGCGTTGCACTAGGAGAGATATCTCTCCCTCGAAGCCCCCTGGCTTAATAATCTCAGGATCCAGGACGTTGAGAGGTTTCTGGTTGACGTCAGTCGATATATCAACCAGGAGACAAATGAACATACCCTAAACCAACACAAGTAAAGGAAAATCGCACACACAACATGAACCATAGTGTGAACCTCTAACAAACTAAGAGGCAGGTTTTGGATCTTCCTGGCAATACACTGCAGGACCATCCATATGACCTGCATAACCACTAATATCTTCTGGAAGTAATCTGCTTTGCTCTTGTCGTCGATCTTCTTCTTCGATATCGGGATCCAGTGCCCTCTCTCTGCAAGCCAGGTCACTGTTCGGGGGCTCAAGCGCACTGAGTATGGCCGCTCCATTGATTCGAACAACCGAAAAGCCTTGTTGTGCAGATCGGGGATGGACAAGATGTCGTCGACGTTGACTCGAACACCGCCCATGATGATGAAGAATGTGTAGGCCATGTCAATATCGATCTGAAGACAAGTTGGATCATTAGTAAATCTAGCAAAGAAGCATATGGAACAGGCTAGGCTCTTGTGATAGGGGTCCAGACATACATGATCTGCATCTGAAGGAGTAGTTTTCTGCAACGATCGAAGTTTCGATCTCAGGTTCCAAGCCTGCTGTAGCTGATCCGCCGCCATATACAGAGCGATCTCGGGTGCAAAGAGGGTTATAGCAACCCATTTGAGCTTGTAGAGAAATATGTAATGCCAGGCCGTCTTGACAGGGACATCGAGATGAAGAGCCGTATAGATACACGCAATAAGTGTCAAGATGCAACTCTGAAGGATATCCAGAGTTCCTCGAATATTAGGTGAGTCAATCCAGGCTGGTGCTACAGCATCTGTTGAACTGTGAGTGATAGTCCATGGTGCGTCTGGAGTAGCCATGGTTAGCTCAAGGTAGTGATGCAAAAACCAGGAGCAGCAAAACAGTGAAAGAAGGTTTTCAATGTTTGTGATTGTGAGGAAGTGTAGAGCATACAAGACACAAAAACTTGCATCTTGGCTTCAATACGTACCGAATCAGGCTGAGGCTGAGTATAAAGAATCTATAAATATCAGCTGCAGGCTCAGGTGCTGGTTGGTCAAGGCATAAGATCTGGAGAATAATAGACATGCTTCCCCTCTTCACCTGCATTCAGGTCATGCATGGCATCGCTCTTCAACATGATAGGTAGGGGTAGTTGCGTGGGATATATATACGATCAATAGTCATGGATAATATGGTGTAAATATATGTTACAACCCCGACGAAACTGGCATCAACAAGGGCATGAAAGAGATACAGCCGTCACTCCCATCAGAGAGCGTGAAGAGTATAAGGAGCCGTCCGACCGAAAAGAACCTCTGACCCCTTTTCGTCAACGTACAAAGATAACCGATACTCCCCCTTTGCCTGCCATAAACCATCCTCAAACCCACTATCACCAAATGCACAAGAAATTTGCCAAAGCAGCCACAGCCACAGCCAAGCTAACAAGCAAGCAAGCGTGAGAGAAAAAGAATTGGATATCATTAAATGTCCTGGCACAAAAAAGAAACGCCCTGCGGGTTGGATGACACATGCAAGCGAACCCAGCCTGGGAGCTTGAAAAATCCAACAGTGCCCAAGTAATCTTTTCATGACAACCTAGATCGTGCTTGTTCGTTGGGAGCGAAGCCCAAGAATCCACGACTCGGAGGCCTCGTTAACAAGTCGATACAGTCTTCATAAGTCCTTTCCGTATAGAGATCTCGCGCTCCCTAAGCATCCTCGAAGATCGTGTTACTGTTCTCAATGACAAACTGTATCGCAAGGTTCTTTGCGTGCATGTCCGTCATCTCGCGCTCCAGGCTCGTGTCACGCATGATGGTTGGCGCAAACACCACAGCCAAGTTCTTGGGAGACATCTGACCAACTGTTAGTGACTGTAGACGAGAGCAATAGTCAAGGCAACATACCAAGTTCTCTGGTTCACGTTGAGCAACGCGTGCAAGATGGAACATGAGGAATTCAAGACAATCACGATGCCTTTGAGGCATCGAAGCAAACGTCTTACGTAGGTGATCGCTTCGTTCCGTTTCATCGACAATAGCTGTAGGCTATTAGCATCCCGTCATCTGACAAGCCACGAACGAACTCACCATTTGATTCAAGAACTCGCTCATACACATCAAATGTGAGCAAGGGGATAGGAAGTTTGCGGAAGTATTGCTTCAGCACACTGGTAACAGCAGTGATATCCAGATCAGGATCTGAAATATCAAAGTTCTCATCCTTGCTGAAGCCGTCCTTGATCATGTTGACCTGAGAGTTACCACCAGTCTTTCGGTAGATACCCTCCTGGTCCATTCCTCTTAGTTCCACCTCTTCTATACATCTTGTGACCACGCTAGGAATCTGTCGGCGCTCATGGTCAGCTCGCTCTGCGAGGTCAGATCCAAAGAGAACCGTGGCTGGCTCAGCCGCGTCAACGTTGTTCATAGTGCCTGCAGAGCCGGACTTGGGCACGGCGTTCTTCTTGCCGAAAAATCCAAACCCTTGTCGTTCACGCTCACGCTCACGTTCTTCTTGTCTCTTGGTTAGCGCTGCAGCTGCACTGTGCTTGTCATGTGAGTTGACGCCGTTGGAGGGAGGGCCAGCAGGCGCTTCGACTTGGGCCACAGTCATATTGTAAGGCATTCCAATGTTCTCTCCGCTCAGCTGGCCCTGTTGCTGCATCCTCTCACGGTCGTTCTGGAATGCGACGACAGCTCTGTTGACACCCTTGGCCACACCCTGGGCCAATCCCTTGGACCCCTTCTTCCAGTTGAACTTCTTGGCTTGGCCCTTTCGGACTTGAACCACAGTTGGCCCGGCTTCGACGATTGGCTCTTCATCAGCAGGAACCAGAGTAGCACCCGTTGATAGACTAGCAGCATCGAGGTTGAGCGAAGAGTTGTTGAGGCCGCCCTTGCCTGGTCCATAGATACCCAGACCGCCAGGAGACTTAATATCTCCCCCAATCTGTGACTTGAAACGTTCCTGGATCTGATGCGTCAAATCATTATTCATATCAGCAAGCTGTGCATTCTTCGACGACAACTGCTCAAATTCAAGCAGAGCACGGTCTCGATCTGCGATGGCTTGATCCTTCTCTTCGAACAACAGATCCCGCTCTTCGTGTAGCTGCTCAATTGCCGCTGACATGGTCTGCTTGACCTTGTCAAGCTTCTGAACAAACTCCTTGATTGCTGAATCCTCAAGATCCCGGGGATCGATAGGTGTCTTGGTCTCCTTTGCACGCTCGACATATCCGGCCAAGACCTCCAGCTGTCGAATCATAATCTCAGTCTGGGTGTCGAGAACGGAAACTGTCTTTCGTTTTTCGACCAGCTTCTTGTTAAGGCTCTTGAGATCCTTCTCAGTAGTAAACTGCCTCTCGAGCTCCGCAACTCGCTGCTCAGAGTTCCGTAATTGCCGCTTAAGAAACGCAGGATCGTCCCCTGACGCCAAAGACATCGGGCTGCTGATCTC